TCAGAATAAAGTGTGCACACCGAGACCACAGAGCAAGATTGACATATTCTTTTCAGTTGTCATTTTGTCTTAGTCTGTTTTCTATGCTATTAATTGAATACCACAGTCTGGATAATTTATGAAGAAAAAAGTCTATTCAGCTCACAGTTCTAAATGTCCCAAATGGAAAGGCCACATTTAATGAAGGTTTTCTTGCTAAAGGGGCTTTGCTGAGGTTAAAGGTAGCACAAGGCATTTCAGAATGATAGAGGTCTGTCCTCTTGTTATAAAGTGATAGGGGAGCTCCATCCTCACAACCTCAACTAATCCTAATCACCATCCAAGGGCCCCCACCTCCAAGTACTATCAACTATGACTGTGGCCATTGCATGTCAACATGAATTTTGGATGAGCAAGACACTCAAGCCAGAATACAATGTAAGTTATATTCAAAACTTAAAAGAGCCTAGGTCCACCTAACTCCACAAGTATCTGTGTGCTGCCATTTGAAGCAGTCTAAATAGTTCATTAAGGAACAGGTGCTATTCAAACAGCCACAGGAAAAAATGACTGATGCACCTACATAGGACTGATCTGTGTCCCCTAAATTTCTTATGCTTAGACGCCGAGCTCCAAGGTGTCCTACTAGGAGGCAGGCCTTGGGAAATGGAAAGTTAAGAAGGAGGCCAGAGCTCTGAGATGACACAGAGAAGCCCCCTTCTGAGATGACACAGAGAAGCCCCCTTCCATTCCTTCTTCGAGGACTCCAAGATGGACACCTATGAACCAGGAAGCAGGCCCCCTCAAACACTCAATATGCTGGTGCCTGACCTCAGCTTCCCAGCCTCCACTGTGAGCAGTCAATGCGGCTGTTTATCAGCCACTTGGTCCACGGTGCTTTGTTACAGCAGGCTCCCATAGTCATTAGTAGGCTTCTTCCTACTTACAGCTTTCTTAGTTCAAACAATAACTGCCTGAAATTTTTAAAAAAAGGAAGAAAGGGGAGGGATAATTTCTACTTGGTATTTTTCTTTCCCATGGTAAACAGAGCAAATATTAAGAAACAGTTATTAGTCTCCTTGGGAGAGCACACCAATTGGTTACCCAACAGTAGTCAGTCCTAAAAACAAAAATACAAGCAACCTTATATAGGCTGAAGCAGGTTGTATTTAGGAATAATTTAGGAACACACACTTACACTCGCACATGCATGTAATAGCACATAATGAAAACAATGTGGCCATGAACTTGAAAGAGGGCAAGGGGGGTATATGGAAGGAGGAAAAGGAAGGGATAAATGACATAAATAAATATAAAATGTAAAAGTATATAAAATGATTATATTATAATCTCAAAAATAAAAGGAAAACACTTGGAAGAGCCAAAGTCCCAATATAATTTTTCTTTTGAACATGTTGCCCAGGTTATCCCTGAACACACTATGTAGCTAAGGATGAAGTTGAACTCTTGATCCAAATGCTGGGATTGATTATAGGTGTTCATGTCATGCCTGATTTATGCGCTACTGGGAACTGAAGCCAAGTCATTCCAGGGCATGCTAGGCAAATACTCTGCCTACTGAGCTATATATAGCCCTAGCCCCTCAAAGATAAAGTTTAAAGAGGCCTGGTTACAATGTCCATATAGACAAACCACAAACAGGTCCGATAATTTATCAACTAATGGGAACACTCGTAAGATGCTACTGGGCATCTGGAATGCTGAAGGAAAAGAAAATTGACTAATAGATACAAAACTGGTCAGGCTCCACAGCAATACAAAATACTGCATCTCTAGCAGACACAGCTCACATTGCTGTATGTAAGTCACATGTACAACCTCAGTGTGCAACAGAGCTCAGACATAAGAAAACCCCTGACTCCAGAAACACAGGAAATTCCCTGACTCATCTCAGTGTAACAGAGCCCAGAGACAAGGAAGGCAGGAAGACTCAGAGACCTAACAATCCAGGACATGCAGGAGACTTCCTGACACGTCCTGACTTTTTTTCTATTTTCCCCCTAAAAACTGAACAATGGTGAATGCTCTCAAGCATGTTTTAAGGGAAATTGCAGTAGAATAGAAGTGTGAGGGTAAGAACTTTGGGGCATGGCAGTATAGAGGCAGGTTAACCAGCACTAGCCAGGGAACCTGGGGAAAACCTGCCAGGTTAGACAGTGGTGGTAAGTAGGATCTTCTCCCGGCACCACCTCACACCAGGAAGCTTCTGAAATGAAACACATGGTATTTATGATTAATTTTGGTTATCAACTTGACAAGATATAGAATCACCTAGGATACAAATCTCTTACCACACCAATGAGGGAGTTCCTAGATGAGGTTAACTGAGGTAGGGAGACAAATGTTAGCACCAGAATTCCATGTACTGGGGTCCTGGACTGAACAAAACAGAGAGCTTCCTTCTTATCAGTGTTCCTTTCTCTGCTTCCTGAGTACAGATGCAATGTGACCAGCTGACCCACACACTGCCATCATGGACAAGACTCTACAACTTCATGCCCAGATAAACCTTTCCTTCTAAGAAGCTGCCTTGTCAAGTATCTTGTTACAACAACTAGAAAACCAAATAACAAAGTACTGAATCAGTGCTTTAAATTTAAACTGCATCTTTAAACCTTATAAATTATATCCTTTGAGCACAGATCACACACACACACACACACACACACACACACAGTGGGGGGGGGGGAGAGAAAGAGTCAGCCAGTGTTCTAAGAGTGACTCTTCCCTTAGGAAGCCCACATATGTCAAGTATATTATCCTTCCCCCCCCTCTCTCTCTCTCTCCCTCCCTCCTTCCCTCCCACCCTCTCCCTCCCTCCCCTCTTTTTTGTCTACACCACCTCTCCCTCCCTCTCTCTCTACCATCCTTAAACTTGAAATGTATACTAATCTTCATCTCTATTTAATAAATTCACTAACTTTACTTTGATCCATCTTTAAATTTTTTTTGGTGGTATAGTCAAGGGTCTGACTTTAGCTGAATTCAAGTCCCCAGGGCTATGGCTACAGAGCTGGACTGTGTCTCTCTGCCATCAAAAACATTTTTAAAAATATTTGTTATTATTGTTGTTATTATTTTGTTGTGGACACCATGCAGATTTGTCACTGGAATTGGTTTAATAAAAAGCTGAATGTCTGTAGTCAGGCAGAAGGTATAGATGGAACAAATAAACTAAGGACACTGGGATGAAGAAGGGCGGAATCAGGGGAGACACCAGCAGTCACAGAGGAAGCAGGACACAGAGAAATTGGGGTAATGAGCCACGAGTCATGTGACAGAGGGTAGATAAGAAATATGGGTTAATTTAAAATGTAAGAGTCACCTAGCAACAACCCTGATCTATTGGCCAAGCATTCATAATTAATATTAAGACTCTGAGTGGTTATTTGGGAGCGGGTGGTTGGGACAGGAAAACTCCGCCTACACACACACACACACACACACACACACACACACACACGTGCTTTGCTTGCATACATGTCTGTCTGTGCACTGTGAAGGCAATAGGAAAGCATCAAATCTCCTGAAACTAGAGTTAGAGACAGTTATGAGCTACTCTGTAGTGCTGGTAATCAAACTCAGGTCCCCTGGAAGAGTAGCCGGAGCTCTTAACTCCTGAGCCATCTCACCAGCTCCCCCAATGATATTTTGCCTAACATATTTCATGTATATGTTGTCCATATACTGTTCCTTGCTTTTCCCTAAAACTTATGCTATGATGTTCACATTCTTACATGTAAAAGATGATGACACACCAGTGTCTTGCCACTCTTTACCTTAACAGGGTTCGTTCTCGTTACCAAATTGCTTGGAAATGATGATCAAACACATGGGGTAGATGTAACCACAAAAAAGAATGAGTTGTTAGAAAGGTTCATATGTGAATCAAGACACAGAAATGATAGAAACTGTTCCAGTGAAGAGATGACGTTCTTTCTTCTCTTTTCTCTTCCCTTCTTCCTTCCTCCCTCCCTCTCCCTCTCTGAGACAAGGTTTCTCTGTGTAGTCCTGGATATCCTGGAACTCTGTAGACCAGGCTGGCTGAACTGAGATATACCCACAGCCCCTCGAACCCAACTTCTGAATGCTGGGATTAAAGCCATGCACCACCAGGGCCCAGGTTAAGAGATGACTTTCAGAACAGAAAGGAAAGGCAGGAGAAAGGGACAGGAACTTCTTTTACAAAAATATCTTCTAATCTTCAGCAGAGGCCAGAATCAAACAAATATAACCATGATTCAGTCAGATGTGCAAACATTCTGTCTGACAGACTCCCAGTTACCAGCTGCAATCAGCTCACCCTAGTCAGTGTCTGTTCTTACAACGCACTGGAAATGATGACAGCCTCAGGTGCATTGAAGGCCCCAGTGTGTTCATGTGATATATGCACATTCACAGCAACATTCTTCAAATCAACAATGAGGGTCACACTAGGTGCAGTAGCTGACTAACGGCCCGCTAGCTGGGTGGCTCCCTAAGTTGGGGAGATAACTGACATGGCCCTGGGCATCTCTTTCTTCTATTCATGAGGCGGCCACTGTACATTACAATCGTAGTAATTTTTTTTCTTTTTTTTTTGGTTTTTCGAGACAGGGTTTCTCTGTGTAGCTTTGGAGCCTATCCTGGCACTGGCTCTGGAGACCAGGCTGGCCTCGAACTCACAGAGCTCCGCCTGCCTCTGCCTCCTGAGTGCTGGGATTAAAGGTGTGCGCCACCAACGCCCGGCACAAACCTAGTATTATTAAGGATGAGTACGAAACCAACCAACTTACCATCACCATCTTAAACACTTAAGAGATAAGACACTTTACTTCATTAGCCTTGTATTAGGGGTTGAGAATACTTGCTCTAAAGGGTACTGTCCAGTTGGAGCGTGACTCTATGATGGAGCAACTGCCTAGTATGTGTAGGAAGCTCTGGGTTCCATCCCCACAATCTCACCTCCCCCCACTCTCTCTCCAGTGTTCTTCTTTCCACCCCCACTGCTGCACACTTACTGCAGGCTGCACAGGTGAAGCATGCATCGTGGTAGAGGTCCCCCATGGCCTGACAGGCCTGGCCAGCTCCAAACACCCCTTTGCTGCATTTCACACAGGCTCCTACAAGGAAAAAGACAACACCAAGTCAGGGGAGAACTTGGATTACAAAGTCATGAAAAAGCCAATGAACAAAACAGAATAGCTCCCCTTACCACAACACCACATCCATGGATTTCTCAGTGCTCAGTCCTTACAAATACAGAAAACAGCCACCATCAACACCCTCCACAAACATACATACACACACACTGTCACACACCAGCCCAAAGCTTTCAAAGGCTCCCACCAGTCAGAAAACCAAATCCTAACCAACATAGCTCAGGAAAAAAAAAATCTAACCTCAAAAGTGTTTGAATATGTTTAAGTATATTGAGACAGGTTCTTACTCTGTAGCCCAGCCTGGCCTAGAACTCATTATATAAACCACAATGGCTTCAAACTCCTAACAGTCCTCCTACCCCAGCCTCCTGAGTACTGGGATTAATTACAGGCATGTGTCAGCATGATTGGCTGAAATTTTAATTTAATGTGAATTATATGTATGTGTTTCAGAGCTCTCCCAGCACTCAGCAGATAAACAACTTCTTGTATTATTTCAGAGTTCCTATTTTGATTGATTGATTGATTGATTGATTGAGATAAAGCTTTCTATGTATCTGTGGCTATTCTGGAATTCGCTATGTATACCAGGCTGACCTTGAACTCTCAGAAATCCACTTGCCTCTGCCTCAGAGTCCTGTCTTTTTCTCAAGACAGGGTCTTACTATGTAGCTTTGGCTGTCCTGGAACTCACCATGTAGATGAGGCTAGCCTTGAACTCACAGAAACCAGTCTGCCTTTGCTTTACACATGCTGTGGGATAAAAGGCATGAGATACTATGCCCAGCCAGAGTTCCTATTTTAAATTGACAAACTAATTACTACCAAGAAAGTCTAAGCTACTACACTCTTTATAAAATGTCCCGATACCAACTACTCAAGCAAAGAGAAAACATCACAAACACACAGGTATTACATACTGCATACACCAGCCAGCCTAGTTCCAAGAAGTGAACTTGTCTCATTAAGGCTCAGGGGGCGAAAGGGCCAGAGGCATCAAATCTTGCTCATAAGATTTAGGGCATCTCCAAGGTGACCTTCAGGACCACCAGCCTCCCAGGACTAGCTGGACAGCAGGCCTTCCCCACTCTGTACCCTGCCCCAAAACGTTCTCTTCTAATTCTCCCTTATCAGAGGCTTATTACTTACTACCTCCGGCCTCCTGTCTACCTCTCCTGACTTCATTTCTCTGGGCTGCAAGCATCACCATGTGGACTGCCAGGCACAGACACAAAACAAGGAAGGAAACTCCATGTTCAAACTGTTGTTCATGGAGTAAAGAGCATCCACGCGACGCCACATCAGTAGGACAAATATTTGGTGTGGATGATGAGTGTCAAATGGACAGAAAAGTTCCTCTTGGAGAGAAAAGGTAGGAAACAAACAAACAAACAAACAAACAAACAAAAAACAAGTGGGTTTCGATTCACACTCTGGGAAACATGTGCCTATCACGCAGACCTTCATTTTAAAAGGCCCTACTGTCTCCTCCCCACAAGCCGGGAGGCTGAGACAGGAGTATTGATACAAGTTTGGAGACAGGATGCTGGAGGTGTGAAATATGGAATCTGAGCCTATCTTATCTCTGTGTGGACATTCACACTATGCGTGTGGCACCTCAGGAGAGATGGGGCTCCTTCCTCACACTGACCATCTGTCCTGCTCAGGGTTCAGACCTAAGAACAGCCATGCCCCTGGCCTCCCACTGCCAGCCTGGCCCACCCCATTTTGCCTTGTTGCCCCCACACAAACCCCAAAGGCCGTCTCTCTGACCAAAACTTCAACCACAAGGCCCTTCCCATAAAAATGCACCCTTCTGCAAGTACAGTGCAGCCCTGTGCCCAGTCCTTTTGCCCAGCATTCTAGACAGCATTTGTTCAGCTATAAATACTTCTCTATCAATTGGAGGCAGGCTTTCCAGATACTGCAATGGGATGAGGAAGAAAAGTGACTAGATTCAGCAAACCCTGGAGGAAACTGTTCTCCCACAGTGTGCAAAGGGCCCCCATCTTACCTGGGGTCCTTTATGGGGCCTTACTAAGTGGCCCATGCTGGAGCTCAACAAAAGAGAAAAAGAGCAAGCTGTTGACTCTCCTCTGACTTTACACAATCCTGAGGCCACCAGATTTACACAAACACCCAAAAAGAAATGAATGTCAACAGCTATCACTGAGTCACGAGGAAAATAAGTGAGGCATGGGCTTTTAGGAGACAAGAGGAAAAGGATGCCTTTCCCTGCAAACTCACTGCCCTTTAATCCTGTCTCCAAACTTGTATCAATACTCCTGTCTCAGCCTCCCGGGCGCTGCATAAGAACAGCTTTTGTGAGGTGTGGCATTCAGTGAACTGTCCACATTTGCTACTCCGTGTGTGTGTGTGTGTGTGTGTGTGTGTGTGTGTGTGTGTGTGTGTGTGTACATACCATAGTACACATATGGATGTCAGTGATGAACTTTGGGGAGTCTTTCTCTATTTTCATTGTGTGGGTTCTAGGGATAGAACTTCAGGTCACCAGACTTAGTGGTAAATGCTGTTACTCACTGAGCACCTTGCCAGTCTAATTGTCTGCATTTAAAGTGTGATTTGACACATCTTGATGCTGACAAATGCCTACAGAATCAGCACAATGAAGAAAGCAAACCCATCTGCCACCCCAGTGAGTCCCATGTCCTCCCCACTTTTGTAATCCACTCTCCCTTCCCTGGGCAACCATGCATCTGTTTACTATCATCACAGATTAGTTTGTGTCAAGAGTTTATTTAAGTGGCACCTGGACTGTACCTCTTTATCTGGCTTCTGTCACAGCATAATTATTTTGGGATTTACTCTTGTCCTGGTGGATATCAATAGTTCCTATTGGTTCCTCCTTGTTGCCATGTACTATTCAGGTGTAGGGGGAGACTACACCATACTTGCGCCCACTCATCCAATCATGGAGATATGTTCCCACTTGGGGGCTTTCCCACACTGCTGCTATCAACATTTGGGCAAGCATTTCTGTACGAACCTAGACCTAAACTTCTTTTTCTCTGGAATAAAGCCCTAGAAGTAGAATGCTCAAGTGTCACAGCTGGTATATGGTTAACTTCCTAAGAAACCGTTTCCTTTAAAATAAAATAAACAGGGTCTCATTTAGCCCAGGCAAGCCCCAGACTACACATGTACCCAAGAATGACTTTGAATTTCTACACTTCTTGCTTCCTCTGTCGCCCACATACTGAGATTGCCTATTGATGTTTCCTGGGGATGGAGCCTGGGGCCTCTTAGGACTTCCGGCATGCTAGGCAAGCACTCTATCAACTGAACCACATCCTCAATCCCTGCCCAACTGTTTTCTGAAGAAGGGAGATCATCTGACATTCCACCAGCCTTTTTAGGAGACTTAGTTTCTCCACATACTTGTCAATACTTGGTACAGATAACTTTTAATGCTATCCATTCTAACAGGCGTATGGTGCAACCACATTGTGGCTTCCAGCTGCATTTCTCTAGCAACTACTGCTGTACCTGAGTCCCATGAAAAACTCCTAATGCTTTATCTATTTATTTTCTTTTTTAAATTTTGGGCTGTTTTAGGCCAAAGATCAATCCGGTCTCTGGTGTTCCAGCCTCTGAATGAGCATCCATTAAACATGTGCCAAGCTCTGCACTATTTTTAATATTATTATTAAATATATATTTAAACATATTATTAAGTATGCATTCAATAATAATCTGACACCCAGTTACAATCATCACTTGATAAATGAAGAATGAAGTTCAAAGATGAAGCAGAAAGCTCCGAAGTCAGGCTCACTCAACATCGGTGACTTTTCCGGTCCACTGTACAGGCCTCCTAAGGGCTGAGGAAGTGAGGGGTAAGAAAAGGTTGTATAAGTTTCCTGCAAGATTGAAACTTTTACTATTCTGTAAAGAAACTCCTTAATTAGGAAGATAAACAACTCAAAATATCGTCAGGAAGTTCCTGAAACTGACCAGATTCACCAGGCCCCTCTCCGTCAGAGTAAGCCACAGACACTGTAAAAATACTCTCAAACAAGTCAAGCTAGCTCCAAAGAAGGCTCTTAGACAAGACCAGCTGTCTGGAAGGGTGCCTGGAAGAGGTTTAGACCCACTGAGGCAGCTGAAGAGGGGGCTGCAGGCTTGTGCAGTGTGAGCTCCAGGTTCCCAGCTTTGTGAGCTGTCACCGTGCTGGGGTGGGCTTTGATGATGCAGCTGTCTTTGAGTCATTTCTACTCCTGAGGGTTGCCCCTCACCAATACTCCTATACCATAATGTCTTTTGGGAGACTAAACAATGTCACAGGCTTCCGAGAGACCATGACTCACCAGGAGTAAACAGAAAGTTCTCCCATTAAGGAAACTATTGTTATAATTGCTGATGACATTTTCGGGCTCCACGTTAGTGGTTGTGATGATTTATATTGTCAATATGACAAGACTAGAATCCCCCAGGGGACAAACAGCTGAATGTGTCTATGAGAAGACTAGGTACATTAAGGTGAGAAGCTTCATTCTAACTGTGGACAGCATCATCCTACATATAGGCTGGAGTCCAGATGAATAAAAGGAGAAAGAGACGGCAAGAGAGATGGCTTGGAGGTTAAGAGCACTGACTGTTCTTCTAGAGGTCCTGAGTTCAATTCCCAGGAACCACATGGTGACTCACAACCATTTATAATGAGATATCTGGTGCCCTCTTCTGATGTTCAGGATACATGCAGGCAGAACGCTGTATACATAGTCTTAAAAAAGAAAGGAAGAGAGCTAAGCACCATCACCTCTGCTTCCTGAGTGTGGATGCCATGTGACCCACTGCCTCCATTCCTACTGCTGTGACTCCCCCACCATGATAGACTGTACCCTCTAACCAAGCTAAGAGAAAGAAGCCCCTGCTTCCTTAAATTGTTTCTGTCAGGCATTTGTCGCAGCAGCAACAAGTAAAGACTAATACAACAGCAC